GTGTTATTCATTTTAATGAACTTGTCTTACTTTTTAATAAATTTTATCTAACAAAATTATTATTTTGGTCTTTATTTCATTAGCTTATTAGTTTTATTTGTTATAATAAATTGATAATTTTTCCTATTTATAAATTTAATAATTATTTCTGAACAGATATTTCAATATTTTGATACATATTATTAGATTCAAAATGTCAAAGATAAAATATTAATGATGTTAATAATTTTACTTAATTCAGGGAGGAAAGCATGTGAGCAAACATCATTTGTATTTTTACGAAAAGAACTTCCTGTTCGTCTAGCAAATATTATGAAAGAAATTCAATTGTTACCTGAACATCTGCTACGAATGCCCTCCGTATCTTTAGTACAAAGTTGGTAAGCAATGCAAAGAATATGTTAAATAATGAAAAATATATTTATAATTTAACAAATTTAAAATAGATATTAATACAATATGAAAATGTAATCTTAATTTTCTGATACATAACTATTGATAAATCTTTTTATGTCATTTTTGATCTTAATCAAGATTGAACATGTTTGTTCGTTTGTGTATTATTTCTTACCAGAAGTAAAGGTTTAACAGTGGTGTTTTACATGCACATTTACTAGACCAGTAATTGGTCTAGTAGTTTGCATAGTTATGTATGTAAATTCAAAATACCTATAGTTTTTTTATTATAACTAACTAGGATATCATGTGACTTTCTTGTATTGCAATAGAATTGAGTTGGAGCCAGAAAGAAAGAAGCAATCCTTGCACTTGTTAAGCACAGAAAAGGTGATCCTTGTACCTGATGGTTGAAGACAGGTAAACTTTATACTTGCTGTTACGAAAGAGGCTATCTTTGCATTTGTTAGCCATAGGAGAGGCGATCCTTGTGATTTAGTCTCTGACTAGACCGAGGCCTACCAGGTTAACACACACGATTAGTCGGCTTACAAAATATCTCTTTATTCAATACGGCTCATGTGAACTCTCGGAAAAAAATTCTCATTACACAATCACGTGTCCCGAATACAAATATCCCTCATCCCTTCAATCTCCTTCTCCCTTATTCGCGTAGCATAACAAGGTTCATACTCGTTTACAATAACACGTAAAGAATTTTCATAATAGTCTACTCCTGGAAATCTGGCATTTAAACAATCAGGAATCGGACCAACAGCTATCACACGTGGGGAAAATCTTCGCTTCCGTCGATACCTCAGGTACTCTATCTTCCTTAATTGTTCTGTCCACACTATTCTTTCCGTGTATACCACACTTGAGATTTGGTTCTATCTCCCTTTTCTCAATGTTCGAACGAATCTTCCTTCTCGCTCCAGTCGGTTCCGACTTTCCTCGATGGCGCTGATCAAAACTCTCTCGAATGGAACTCCTCCCAAGGAAAGAAAAAAAGGTGTCTTTGCACACATGGACCTGCTATTTATATCCTGGCTTGCTACCCTCACGTGACCTCTTGGGTAGCCAATCCAGAGGTCTGGTTTTACACAAAGGAGGGAGGTACAAAGTAAGGAGGACGTGTCCAAATGGACGACAAACACAAGAAAACCCGATACAGTGTGACATAATAACTTACGCTAAGTACAAAGAATATTAACTATACAAATAATATTCACATACATTACTAACAACAACCAATAAGTGGCGGAGCACTACACTTGCACTTACCAACATGGAGAGGCAATCCAAGAACAAAAGCAATTGATGCCACCAGTGGCTAAGTGGATAAAAACCACTGAACACTGGTAGTTGGTTGTGAGTTCATGCCTAGCCAACAGGCTGGCTACACAGAGTTTTCCTGGTTTTTTCATGTTAGTAACACCTAAATAGTAGACAGTTTCTCATAAAAGAGCTGCTGAGAGGCATTCTCCCTCAGCAGATCTTCCAAGTGTCACATTACTGTAAACAAATAAAACCAAAACTTAAAAACAAGCAATGTTAATTGCTTTGTTCTTGTGTTCTGTTTATTTTTCTGTTTATTTTTTGTGTCTATTTTCTGTTTATTTTTTTGTGTCTATTTGATTGTTTATTTTTTGTCTATTTTCTGTTAGGTTTATGCAATGTTGTTTTTTTTTATTTGACCTCTAAATTCTTCAAGTAGCAAGGACATTGTCACTTTGACCCTACTTTATATTGAAAAAAAGAAAGCATGGACCCCAATTTTTTTCATTTACATTTATTACATTTCTGGATTCTTCATTGCAATCAATAGAAAATGGCAAAGTTTTATCAAAATCAGCCCATCAAATTTTGAGAATGAACTCAATTCTATAAGCCACATAGATGTGCACATAGACCTTGGGACATTGCACGACTTGCACAATATCACTTTGTCACAAATGCTCTTGTTAGGACCTTGTATCTTCAAAAGTTATGAACCTTCATTTTTTATTTCATTTTTGGATTCTTCATAGTAATTAATGGAAAATGGCAAAGTTTTATCAAAATTGATTGAACAGATTTCGAGAATGAATGTAATTCTGTAAGTCACATAGAAGAGGCTTTGATAACACTCTGCCTCAAGATATAATATATTGTTTAATTTTATTGTATATTGTATATTAATTAATAATAATCTAACCATAAATATGTAATCATTTTTAGAAAATTCACAAAATATATCAATCAATTTATTTTCCTAAATCATACTTGTATAGTAGAGCATCGATTATCCAAAACAATTTGGGACTGGGATTGTTTGGATAAGTGATTTTTCGGATAACTGATCATTTACAAAAAAATATATTAAACACAAAACTGTACTGTATATATTTTGTATCATATGTCTTACAAATACATAACTTATATAAAGTAGTACATTAAAGTGGGCCTACAGTTTAGGTTGGCATGGAGGGAAAGAGTACTGCATTGCCACAGCACTAGCAAAAATTTCAATTTTCTGACTGGAACACTCGGTTAACCAATGTTTTGGTTGATTGGTATTCAGATTGATGCTCTACTGTGTATATAAAATAATCTGAGAAAATTCTTTTGAAATTGCTGAAATTATTAAGGTTATTATAATTAATAATTTATATTTTTATATGAAAAATTGTATTTATGTAATTTTTATTTGACAGAAGTTAGTTTTTGACAAATTATAAAATCAAATTTGCTTAGTTTACACATTTGGTATTGTTTTGTGAAAAATTCTTTTTTATATCTTGTGACTTTTTAGATTTACAATAGTTATATTTGATAAGTCTTATTCTATGTTTTAAATTATTTAGTTATACAGTTATAATCAACGATTAAAATTTCTAAATTGAATGAAATTGTGACTTTGTACTTAACATCAAAATTGTATTTTTGGTTTATTTGAATTAAAGCACTTATGGAAATAAAGCACAATAAAGACAAACTTTTCACAAGTTTGTCTTTTGTGAAAACTAAACATAATGAAAATTTTATTTAGACCATTAAATAATTATTTAAAAGTTTTTTAATAAATATTATATAAGTGGATAAAATTGTAAATTAAGAACTGTCATTATAAATCTAATATTTATATCATAAAGACAGAGTTTATTTTTGTATGTAAACATAAACATAAATACATGTTGTGAGTATTCTAAAATTGTTTGCATAGTTNTCAACGAAAACCGAGTATTACTGTACTGTAATAAGGACTGAGAGGGGCATGAAGCCCAAAATGCATATTCATTGTAAATTACAGAAAATAAAAATCTACTTTTTCCATCAAAATGAGTGTTCCTGTATAATTTGTTAGTAACTTTATGCCAAGTTCCAAAAAACATACATTAAAATGTAATACTTTTACTATGTTAGCGCCGCAAATCCTGGATAAAAATCCAGGATTTGTGTAACAACATAATGGTAGTGTGGAAAAACTTTGAATGAATTTGGTAAACTTTTGGGAGTTTATCAAATTTATGTTTTATTATTTAAAAAATGTTTTTGTTGAAAACTCAGAGTATGAACGTAGAAAATATATTCTAAATAGATTAACATGTTTAGAACGGACGGCGCGTCATTTTAAAGTAATGAATTTCAATCAGCATAATGGTAGTGTGGATGATAAAAAGAATGTTAAAGGCTTTCTAAGGTTATGATTTATTGGTTTCCGAAGCTTCAATGCCACCAAAAATACCACTTAAATTTCATATCAAGTTTAGAAACCAAATTTTTCAATATTTGTAATATAACAAGTACTTGTAAAACAATTGATAGGTTTCTGTTGAGTGCCATCAGCGGTTTCAATGAGTGAGCAAAAAGAAATCTGACGTGTGATCGGACTGTGCAAAATTACGAACAGGATGAGTTCCAATCCGTTTCTTACGCTTACTTCTCGATCCCATTCTTCAGAAATGGGTTACGGATTGATAAATAACACAGGGCATATACGAAAATAAATACTTTTACCAAATTTATTCATTCTCAGGTTTCTATTTTGATTTCAGATCGAATCGATTTGTTCGTTACTAATATCTTTCTGTTAGTAGCTTACATAGGCTATATCTGCGTTTAGAGGTCGTCCGTTGATTACGTGTACAGTTTAAAGGGTATTTCATCAAAGGTCGCGAAAAGTACATCATTGTACACGTGGGAAAAGAGGGAATATAAGCATTTCTACGTGGACTTTTTAGTGATATTAGTATATTATGAATTTGGACTTATAAGCCCACTTACTAAATAGGTAAATGAACTATTAAAAACTATTTGCAGAACTTTTTAAAGTCATTTCTTCAATCGAGGTTACGAACTGTTGTATATATAATTAACGGAGAAAAGTTTGACAGTACAACACTGTAGAAAGGAGGCCAAAAGTAGCTAAAAAAATTACACGTAATTAATTAAATTAATAGACGACCATTTATCGAAATCCACATTTTAAAAATATTTCTCTTAATTATTTGGGAACTGCAAATTCGTCGTAATTAATATAAAATTTTTTTCTCCGAAGACAAATACATACTATTTTTCATTTAAATCGGCGCCTTTTGATGATTTGCTGTAAAGTATAACATCGTTTTTCACAAAATTGGCGAAGGGGCATTCGAATAATTTACTAGTGACTATAAAAGCGATTTTACATAAATAAAATGAAATAAAATTTTAAAAAATTCGAATCGAATAGATACGGGGAGAAACCGTGACGTGTGAACGGAGATTTTTGTATTGGGCTTTTTGCCATTTAGAGGAGAGAGAGATTCGATGGAAGAACAAAACTGTTATCAGATGATGTAGCACTTTTGTTTCTCGTCTGGAAATTATTAAAACTCCCAAAATGAGATTAACAAGAATCTGTTTGAAGAATTTTTCGAAACTTTTGGATTATTATTCTCAGTTTAATCCATCTCCTCTATCAATTAAGCAATTCATCGATTTCGGTAAGTGGGCATTTCCTCTAAACACCTTGGATTTTAAGCCATTTTTTTATACATTATTCTGCTCCGTGACGTCAATTCTTTTTAAAATGTGCATTTCATTGTCAGTTACGTTTTAAAAACAATGTATTGCGTCTTTAACTACAGGAAACAATTCATTATAAATACAGCGTTATTATACGCATTATGTATACTGTATATTTTCCTGTTAAATGTTCAGAGAATTTTTAAAAAAATATTTTTCTTTCAGAACAATCGCAGTTTAAATTAGAAACTTTGTAAAGCCAGATTTATCATTCATAAATATGCATTTAGTTTTTCTTTATCATTAGCATTCACTATTTGTCAAAAGTAAAATAAGATCTATTAATAATCTTTGTCTTATATTTTAGTAAACAGATGCTATTGAAATATCTTTATGTTCATAATGTGTTTTATATATCTCTGTATAAGTTCTTTTCTTTATATTATATTTTTAGTATTTCAGATATGAAGTGTGCATTTAAAGGAAATAGTTTGTTTTTGTTTTCAAAATTTGCCCCCAATAAAATGTGGAACTTTAAAAATGTTTGTGTAAACAAATTATATTTTTGGGTCAGGAATGGACTACTTGAGAAAAATATATTATTTTCAAGTGAAAACTGATATCAATAGCTTCTAATTAATATAATTTTTGTCTTTTGAACTAAAATATCTAATCTAGTTCTACAAATAAATATAAACATATACATACATACGTGTAAAAATTAGGAGTAAAGACCGTCTTTCTGGTGTTAAGAGATGAAATAAAGACAATCTAAGATTCTGTGTTAAGTTCTTAATTTAAAAACTATTTATTCTATTAATAGCTTTTTCTGTTTTCATCTGAAGAAAATGATTATGTATTATCATTGAAAGTAATTGTAATTATATTTGTTTTTTAAACTTAATATTGTCTTTATTTCATTTTATATCATAAAGACAGAGTTTATTTTTGTATGTAAACATAAACATAAATACATGTTGTGAGTATTCTAAAATTGTTTGCATAGTTAATTAAAATTACATTTCATTGTATTCTTTTTTCTTTTGCAAAAATGGATTATAATAAAATGTTAAGAAGTTATATTTATAAAATATATAAGTTATGTAAATAAGTGTCTGTAAATTTTAATTGTCAGCTTAACAAGATATGATAAGAAATTTTCTGCAGTTTGATAACTTTATTTAAGTTATCTGTTTAAAAAACTGATATTGATATCTCTATAAGTGTTCTGGAAGTAAATTATTATTAACAAATGTAAAAATAAAATTTCTTGGAATGACTAAGTTAAATTAATCTATTAGAAGAAAAACTTTTTTCCATTGAATTGATGTATCTTAATTAATATGGTTTTTTTAAATAGGAACTATTCTGACAACTTCTTTCAATAAAACATTTTCTTGTATTAAATATCGAGAGGCTCAAAATAAATTAGAGTAAAAAGAGTTTATTTCAAAATAATATAAAATGTGTTTAAAAATATCTTATCCTCACATAAATTTTTTTCCCCTTTTCTTCAACATTTAAAACATGTGATGTGAATAATTACAAAATTTACATTTCCTGGATGCTATTAGATCTATGATATATTACTTATCTTAGCCAAAAATATAATTTACAAATTTATGAACTGAAATAGGTGAAGCATCATAAGATGCTTAATTTGATCTTTCCAAATTTCTTTTTGGAAATAGTGATTTATCTTCCGTTTCATCTTTTATCTTTATTTTTAAAATTGGTAATGATATCTTTTTTAAAGTATAAATTATATTTTATAATAATTTAAATATTTATCAGCATTATTATGCTGCAAAGATTTCTGAGATATATTTATAATGAAAGTAGTTTTGAGCAAATTTCTTCGATGAATAAATAAAATTCATTTTATTTTTGATAATTACATTTTATTCTTATTTAATATTTTCATTTAACCATAAAATGAGTTTGCTAACATGCAATTTATTGTATGTAGAGGAGAATAAAAGGAACTTTACTATTTTCCATAATTCTTAGCACTTTTAGGTAATTTTGTTCATAGGAGTGAGCTGATAGGCTTGATCATTCAAAAGTACTAGGGAAGTAGTGGAGTTTATTTAATTGTGCACGTACTCTAATAAAGAATTTGGAAAATAAATTAGAAAATATTACATTTATTATGTTTTCATCATATCAGTTATATATAAATTGATAATGTTTATTATATATCAAAATTATTTATTTTTTAAATGGATTTCAAAGTTTCTTCCTTTCATATCTAATATGTTTAATAAATTAATTAATTTTAATGTGTAAATGTTTTATAAATCTTATCTTGACTAATTTCCTCATTAAATAAGTATTACCTACTAAATTTTTTTCTTATTTTTCTTTCTTTTATTTTACTATCTTTCATTACATTTTAATCATATTTGTATGATTTCATTTTCCATGTCTGCAGTTTAATTCCCATGACTGTTGCAATTAATAAAAAAAATATAAAACAAGAACTTTATTTGTACTCAGTTGTTTTTCATATTTGACNAGCTTATTAGTTTTATTTGTTATAATAAATTGATAATTTTTCCTATTTATAAATTTAATAATTATTTCTGAACAGATATTTCAATATTTTGATACATATTATTAGATTCAAAATGTCAAAGATAAAATATTAATGATGTTAATAATTTTACTTAATTCAGGGAGGAAAGCATGTGAGCAAACATCATTTGTATTTTTACGAAAAGAACTTCCTGTTCGTCTAGCAAATATTATGAAAGAAATTCAATTGTTACCTGAACATCTGCTACGAATGCCCTCCGTATCTTTAGTACAAAGTTGGTAAGCAATGCAAAGAATATGTTAAATAATGAAAAATATATTTATAATTTAACAAATTTAAAATAGATATTAATACAATATGAAAATGTAATCTTAATTTTCTGATACATAACTATTGATAAATCTTTTTATGTCATTTTTGATCTTAATCAAGATTGAACATGTTTGTTCGTTTGTGTATTATTTCTTACCAGAAGTAAAGGTTTAACAGTGGTGTTTTACATGCACATTTACTAGACCAGTAATTGGTCTAGTAGTTTGCATAGTTATGTATGTAAATTCAAAATACCTATAGTTTTTTTATTATAACTAACTAGGATATCATGTGACTTTCTTGTATTGCAATAGAATTGAGTTGGAGCCAGAAAGAAAGAAGCAATCCTTGCACTTGTTAAGCACAGAAAAGGTGATCCTTGTACCTGATGGTTGAAGACAGGTAAACTTTATACTTGCTGTTACGAAAGAGGCTATCTTTGCATTTGTTAGCCATAGGAGAGGCGATCCTTGTGATTTAGTCTCTGACTAGACCGAGGCCTACCAGGTTAACACACACGATTAGTCGGCTTACAAAATATCTCTTTATTCAATACGGCTCATGTGAACTCTCGGAAAAAAATTCTCATTACACAATCACGTGTCCCGAATACAAATATCCCTCATCCCTTCAATCTCCTTCTCCCTTATTCGCGTAGCATAACAAGGTTCATACTCGTTTACAATAACACGTAAAGAATTTTCATAATAGTCTACTCCTGGAAATCTGGCATTTAAACAATCAGGAATCGGACCAACAGCTATCACACGTGGGGAAAATCTTCGCTTCCGTCGATACCTCAGGTACTCTATCTTCCTTAATTGTTCTGTCCACACTATTCTTTCCGTGTATACCACACTTGAGATTTGGTTCTATCTCCCTTTTCTCAATGTTCGAACGAATCTTCCTTCTCGCTCCAGTCGGTTCCGACTTTCCTCGATGGCGCTGATCAAAACTCTCTCGAATGGAACTCCTCCCAAGGAAAGAAAAAAAGGTGTCTTTGCACACATGGACCTGCTATTTATATCCTGGCTTGCTACCCTCACGTGACCTCTTGGGTAGCCAATCCAGAGGTCTGGTTTTACACAAAGGAGGGAGGTACAAAGTAAGGAGGACGTGTCCAAATGGACGACAAACACAAGAAAACCCGATACAGTGTGACATAATAACTTACGCTAAGTACAAAGAATATTAACTATACAAATAATATTCACATACATTACTAACAACAACCAATAAGTGGCGGAGCACTACACTTGCACTTACCAACATGGAGAGGCAATCCAAGAACAAAAGCAATTGATGCCACCAGTGGCTAAGTGGATAAAAACCACTGAACACTGGTAGTTGGTTGTGAGTTCATGCCTAGCCAACAGGCTGGCTACACAGAGTTTTCCTGGTTTTTTCATGTTAGTAACACCTAAATAGTAGACAGTTTCTCATAAAAGAGCTGCTGAGAGGCATTCTCCCTCAGCAGATCTTCCAAGTGTCACATTACTGTAAACAAATAAAACCAAAACTTAAAAACAAGCAATGTTAATTGCTTTGTTCTTGTGTTCTGTTTATTTTTCTGTTTATTTTTTGTGTCTATTTTCTGTTTATTTTTTTGTGTCTATTTGATTGTTTATTTTTTGTCTATTTTCTGTTAGGTTTATGCAATGTTGTTTTTTTTTATTTGACCTCTAAATTCTTCAAGTAGCAAGGACATTGTCACTTTGACCCTACTTTATATTGAAAAAAAGAAAGCATGGACCCCAATTTTTTTCATTTACATTTATTACATTTCTGGATTCTTCATTGCAATCAATAGAAAATGGCAAAGTTTTATCAAAATCAGCCCATCAAATTTTGAGAATGAACTCAATTCTATAAGCCACATAGATGTGCACATAGACCTTGGGACATTGCACGACTTGCACAATATCACTTTGTCACAAATGCTCTTGTTAGGACCTTGTATCTTCAAAAGTTATGAACCTTCATTTTTTATTTCATTTTTGGATTCTTCATAGTAATTAATGGAAAATGGCAAAGTTTTATCAAAATTGATTGAACAGATTTCGAGAATGAATGTAATTCTGTAAGTCACATAGAAGAGGCTTTGATAACACTCTGCCTCAAGATATAATATATTGTTTAATTTTATTGTATATTGTATATTAATTAATAATAATCTAACCATAAATATGTAATCATTTTTAGAAAATTCACAAAATATATCAATCAATTTATTTTCCTAAATCATACTTGTATAGTAGAGCATCGATTATCCAAAACAATTTGGGACTGGGATTGTTTGGATAAGTGATTTTTCGGATAACTGATCATTTACAAAAAAATATATTAAACACAAAACTGTACTGTATATATTTTGTATCATATGTCTTACAAATACATAACTTATATAAAGTAGTACATTAAAGTGGGCCTACAGTTTAGGTTGGCATGGAGGGAAAGAGTACTGCATTGCCACAGCACTAGCAAAAATTTCAATTTTCTGACTGGAACACTCGGTTAACCAATGTTTTGGTTGATTGGTATTCAGATTGATGCTCTACTGTGTATATAAAATAATCTGAGAAAATTCTTTTGAAATTGCTGAAATTATTAAGGTTATTATAATTAATAATTTATATTTTTATATGAAAAATTGTATTTATGTAATTTTTATTTGACAGAAGTTAGTTTTTGACAAATTATAAAATCAAATTTGCTTAGTTTACACATTTGGTATTGTTTTGTGAAAAATTCTTTTTTATATCTTGTGACTTTTTAGATTTACAATAGTTATATTTGATAAGTCTTATTCTATGTTTTAAATTATTTAGTTATACAGTTATAATCAACGATTAAAATTTCTAAATTGAATGAAATTGTGACTTTGTACTTAACATCAAAATTGTATTTTTGGTTTATTTGAATTAAAGCACTTATGGAAATAAAGCACAATAAAGACAAACTTTTCACAAGTTTGTCTTTTGTGAAAACTAAACATAATGAAAATTTTATTTAGACCATTAAATAATTATTTAAAAGTTTTTTAATAAATATTATATAAGTGGATAAAATTGTAAATTAAGAACTGTCATTATAAATCTAATATTTTTGGTGATTTAAATTATATAAATGACTAAAAATATTTCATAGGTATGAAAAAAGTTTTGAAGAAATTTTAGAATTTGAAAAAGTAGATGCTCTTAGACCTGATATTTTAAAAAAGTAAGTTATAATAAAGTTCTCATACATATTATAATATCACTTATTTTTAATTTTTTTTAAATTTCTTGTAAAATTTAATTTGTATTTAATTTTTTATTTATATTTTTACATGTTATTAGGTTTTGCAAGACACTTGTAAAAATTCATAATAGACATACAAATGTTGTCCATACAATGGCTCAAGGTATCATTGAATTGAAAGATAGTCATGAATTGGATCAACAGACAGAACACAGTATTCAATATTTCTTAGATCGGTTTTATATGAGTCGTATTTCTATAAGAATGCTTATAAATCAACATAGTAAGCTCTTTCTTAGTTTACTAGTTTATTCATATAGAAATTATAATTTTATATGCATGCACATAAGTCCATCCCGAAAGTAAAGATACAAACAATGAATTTTGAAAAAAAATTTAATAACATCAAATAAAAGCTATTAATGCATATATTTAGTTATTTTGAATATAATCACTTCTTAAAAAATGAACAATTATCTCTGTTTGTCAAGGCTTTGTTTAGTCTGGGTATGAGATTTTGTATATATATATCATAGAATTCAGCTATCTGATTACAAAACCATTTAGTGATTTCATTTTTCATGTTATATTCATCCAATTTTACGTCATTTAGACATATCTTTAAATTAAAAGTCAAACATAAATTATTTGGAGTGAAATTGGTGCTGTGAACTGGATGGTTTAAAACATTCCTGTTGAATCTACAATAATTACTTGGGTGTTTTATGCAGTATGCAGATTGTGTTGTTGTGCAGTAAACAGCCACCATATGATAGCATTTCTTTTCTTTTACTCTGAATTTCAAACCCAACCTTTTTTTTTTTTATTTCACATTAGGCTGTAGCATTTATGGCAGTCCCTTAAAACATAAAATGAAACAAAAAAATTTTCCTTTTGCTTCCAAGAGATGTTTAAAGTGGTTGCTTTGAATTTCTTTGCATTGGGAGAATTTGATACCTCTGCATCAATTGTTTACTCTTGGATATGTTCACCCAGGGTGCAGAATGTTTTCAGGACTCAAAATTTCCTCAAAAATTGTTACACAAACACACGAAATAAAACAAGAATTATGACCTAATTAATAATTGTTATTATATAGTTAGGCCTATTTAATTTAAAATTTTCAATCTTATAATGTGGCATGCAATACTAACATAAAATTTTTTAAATTAAAATAATGCTTTAATTTAAGCATATGTCATCATCACAAGATAGCACATGCAATTACAAAACTGACTTACCATAATATGTTGATTAATAGAAATAAATTTAAGTTGTCACTGATGCCAAGAATGACCAATTTTTAGCATTAATGGATATTTTGACATCCGAAAACACACAATTTCTTTATGGCAATGGCATTGTATAATTTTTTTTCTGGAAAAGTATTTTGCAAAAAAAAAACTTTTAAAGTTTTTGACTGACTTTTTATTATGGTACAATCTTGGTAATATGGCTGTTTGCTAATGTTCACATCCAATAATCTGACAATAGTCACTTTTAGATATTACTGGAACTGTTTCCAAGTCATAGAAAAACTTTTGATTAGTTCAAACTCCAGTTTCCACTAAATTTAAACACTTCTCAACTAAACATAGCTTGGTATTAAGCCTGAACTTGAATACTTAAGTTTAATCACAGTATTAAAGATTGTTAGGATCATCATCTTAGGCTACTAAATTAAGATACACTAGCTTATAACATAATATTGTATAGATATAAAAATTAGTCTTCGAAAATTACTCACCAAATTACTGTACCTTTCACTAAATATTCCATGGTCACTTCTATTTTCCACTATATTTAGTGAGAATCCACTAGCTTATCAACACTGATTACTAATGATGGCAATGCTCTTGGATGCTTTGATTAGTAGTCCAACTTAATACAGTGTGTTAATATAATGCAAATAAACAAATATTTTCTTTTCAAATGAAAAACCTTTGAATTTACCTTACGTCCAATAATTTAACAATCTTCTTAATGCAACAGTGTTTTTGTCCCATATATGTTGGATTACTGAGATTGTGCTTAAACACAGCCATATTTTCATGATTCTTTAAAATATATTTTGACAATGTTTTTTATTTTATAACTAGCTTACCTGTTGCGCATTGCTGCGATCTCAGAAGAAACGAAATTCAAGCAAACTCGTTATGATAAAATTCAATTTACATTTTATTATTTTTATTGAAACTTATTATTATTATTATTCATTTTCATTGGGAAAACATTTCAAAGTATTGTTTCAATTCTATTTATTTATTGGAGTGCTTGTGGATACACGATACTTTTTGTTTTTCCATCTAGTGCGCACACGAATAAATCAGAAGGTTTTCCGATGCATGAGATGGCCACATACAGTTGTCCCTGTGAGAAGCACGGATTCTCCAAATCTAGCCCACACACTTGCAGCGATTGTCAGAAGTGTGATATTCCCCATTTTTATATATATTTTTTTAATCCTTTACAATTTTAATTATTTAATTGCTCCTTCCTCTCTTCCTTGGCATGTTGTGAAATTTCTGATAGTTGGATAATAAACCGTTTTATTGTAATTTGTCTTTTTAAATTATTTTGAGTTAATATTAAAATTTAGAAAAGAGGCTCCCTAGATCGGTAAAATAGGCGAATTTCCTCCTACATATTCGGTTGTTGTTCGGGATACAGTTAAAGTTTTAACAAAGTTTGAGTGAATACATAATTAGCAAAAAATAGTTGAAATAAAGTGATTAAACAAAAATTATTACAAATATCGTNACAAATTCGGTTGTTGTTCGGGATACAGTTAAAGTTTTAACAAAGTTTGAGTGAATACATAATTAGCAAAAAATAGTTGAAATAAAGTGATTAAACAAAAATTATTACAAATATTGTAAATAACAGTTCACAAATGCATATATAGAGATATTTTTTTGGGGGGGAAATGGTCATCACAATTTGAAATCTATCAAACTCACGATGAAATGCTCATATACACTCGCGCCATTCATCGTAGGATAAATGTACTATGCCAGAAACTTTCGCGGGAGTATATTAAACAACTTCCAAAGTTTGATGGCAATCGGATAAAATGCATGAAGGACATACAGACAGACATATATTCATTTTTATATATATAGATAAATCCATGAAAAGATAAAAAAAATACAGGAAAATAATGTTTAAAAAATGACAATAAAATGTCTATACAACTATTTAGTCAAAACAATTCAGAAAAAGTATTTTAATTACTTTGAATAATTTTTTCATTTGTGGAATGAGTGAATATTTCATTTTAATTCAAAGCCAACACAAAATTTCTTCCATTAAATAGCATCAAAAAGAGCTTTGAAATGAAACTGGATTTTAATTTCTCAGTTCTTTTTAAACATTTCAGTTTTGATTTTTTGTAAAAGTTGTAACCATGATTCAGTAAGCAAGTCAGACTTCTCCTTACTGCAAGTGCATAATTGTGTAAGTAGGCAGTGATGCAATGAATGACTGAACTTTCAGAAACAAAGTAAACAATGTATCATTTTCACTTTTAAAGTACAAGATTCCTGCATTTCTTGAATTATTGTCAATAGTTTAGTCAAGATGCTACTATATAAATTTTAAAAAATTTTTATTTAACATGNTTATTACAAATATTGTAAATAACAGTTCACAAATGCATATATAGAGATATTTTTTTGGGGGGGAAATGGTCATCACAATTTGAAATCTATCAAACTCACGATGAAATGCTCATATACACTCGCGCCATTCATCGTAGGATAAATGTACTATGCCAGAAACTTTCGCGGGAGTATATTAAACAACTTCCAAAGTTTGATGGCAATCGGATAAAATGCATGAAGGACATACAGACAGACATATATTCATTTTTATATATATAGATAAATCCATGAAAAGATAAAAAAAATACAGGAAAATAATGTTTAAAAAATGACAATAAAATGTCTATACAACTATTTAGTCAAAACAATTCAGAAAAAGTATTTTAATTACTTTGAATAATTTTTTCATTTGTGGAATGAGTGAATATTTCATTTTAATTCAAAGCCAACACAAAATTTCTTCCATTAAATAGCATCAAAAAGAGCTTTGAAATGAAACTGGATTTTAATTTCTCAGTTCTTTTTAAACATTTCAGTTTTGATTTTTTGTAAAAGTTGTAACCATGATTCAGTAAGCAAGTCAGACTTCTCCTTACTGCAAGTGCATAATTGTGTAAGTAGGCAGTGATGCAATGAATGACTGAACTTTCAGAAACAAAGTAAACAATGTATCATTTTCACTTTTAAAGTACAAGATTCCTGCATTTCTTGAATTATTGTCAATAGTTTAGTCAAGATGCTACTATATAAATTTTAAAAAATTTTTATTTAACATGGTTTTATTATATTTTCATATATAAATATATATATTATTTTGTAAATTTTTTTGTCCAATGGAGATTATTATTATTAAAATTAAAGACAAAGTACAAAGTTCTTTAAAAAACACAAATATATTGATATATTTGTGTTTTTTAAAGGACTTTTTTAAAATTCTGGCAGCATGTAGCCTCTAAGGGAAGGTCTGTTGCCATGAATGTGTAGTCTGGAACACAAGAAATAAATGATGGTCCCTTTTGGGCAGACTTTGTCTTTAATTTTAATAATATATATATAACAGAAAAAATATGGTTATATATTATTATTAATTTAAATTTTTCCAGAATTTTTTAAATTTCTTTCAAACCTAGTTTGCATGATTGGACATATTCTGCACTTCTGGTTCACCTATTCCTGTTACTATGGAAGTCATAGACTTTATTGCCTTCTAAGTAGTGTATGATAAAATTGAGAAAAATTTAGTAATTTAATTTTTTATGGGTTTTTTAGACACCCATTGGGCATGTAGCTTGAAATAACTTAATCTTTCTTCTCAAAATCTCATGAAAAAGGACTTGGATACTTCAGGAATGATTGCCTGTTAAATCCCTGTCACTCTAGTTTTTCTTTAGCTTTTTCAACAATTTTATAATTACTCAAAGATGACCTATTGATTCTTTGTTCATCATAAACCTCATCCTTAGTTGTTCCTACAGTAAATTCTCATCAACAGTTTACAACAATTCTGCCTGTTCATAACATCGTTATTACTGTAAATAAATTGCAGCCCAATAATTTGTTGATGAGTTTTTACAGGAGTTTCTCTTTCTATATTGAGATATTGAAAAATGGAATGCATTTCATATTGAGTGGGAGTTTGAATTGGCACATTTATTTTGGAATGAATTCACATAACACACAACTAAGTCACTGAGAGTAATTTTAACTAATGAAGCAGTCATGTAAGTGTATGCTAGACAAGGTAATGCTGTCATCTTTATAATGGTGTTTTCTCTTCTGTCACACACTTTGTATCTTTACTTTCTGGATGCCTTTTATATATATAAAGATCTAATAAATTAATTTTTTTATCTATTAGCATTGTTGTTTGGAGATGATGTTAGTGTTCCTTCAAGTCATATTGGATGTCTCGATCCAAACTGCCGAATATCAACGATTGTTGAAGGTAAATTAATACAAAACACCTAGAAAAGATTCCTAATTCATAGAACAATTTACACATAAATTACATTATTTGTAATAAATAAATATATTTAAGAATGCATAAGAAATTTATTGCAATGAATATTTTTATAGTCTTAAGGATATTTTTTTCAATATGATGCATTTTGGGAGAAAATTTGATTTTTGTCCCTGGACTGGAAGTCATTTGATTTTTTTTTAAATTAAAAGATTATTAAAAATTGTAGCTTGGCAATTTGATGATGTCACAATAAATAATTTTTAAAATAAAGCAAAATTATTTTATAAACTTATTTGTATTTTAGTAAATTTTTTAAGAATTTATTATTTATTATTTTATAAATTTTATTTTTTCAGATGCATATGAAAATGCAAAATTTTTATGTGATCAATATTACCTAACATCACCAAATTTATTTATTGAAGAACATAATGGTAAAAAGTAATATTTTATTTTAATATAAGAAAATTATTCTTATTTTCATTAAAATGGTACAATCAAATGTTTATTAGTACTTTAATAAAAATACATAGAAAGACTAAAATGTCTTCACTCTTGCCATGTCCAATTACCAGGAATGACAATCTTCCACTGCAGAGATGAATTTTCTCTAGAGTCTGCACCTCTGCATAAACATGCAAAACAGTCTAAAAGTTCTCCAGTGACAAGCCCAAAACAATTAAAAATACAATATTTAAAAACTGGTTGACAGATTTTAAATAGAAAAAGTTTTATTCTAAACAGTACTAATAAATTTATATCTATGAAGATAAGAATGGAAAAAAAATGGAAAATTAATATAAAGAATTGTAATTTTGCAGTTTTCTTGTATACCTAGTATATATTTTAAGATGCTTAATAAATTCAAACTAAAATTTTAAAAAACTGGAATAAAATTGAAGGAATCAATATTGGACTTTTTTTGAAAAAAATATAACATTTTAATTGGCCTATGATCTCATTATAGGTATTGTTACTTAATGTCTTGCAAGCATTTCCACTAATTAATTCTGTCATTTCAAACGAGAATATTTGCTAAAACTAGAATTAGCAAATATTCTCATTTTAATAAACTTCAGTAATACTGTTTATATTTTTAAAATTTATATGGTGCTTTTTTATTTATCATACTAAAAATTAAATTATAAGCTACATTTTTTTCTTTTAGAAAAAAAAAAATACACCAAATAAATTTTAAATATATAGAACTCTATTGAACTCACCATTATATATCATTTGTATAACCAAACATTGTTGGACTTTAGATAACTGTTTTTATGCTAGAATTTTTAATTATTTAATATTGAGGTGTTGATATGATTATTTCTAGGTTAAAAGTATTAGTAATTAAAAATTCTAGTGTAAAAAATAACCAAATACTGTTGGATTTTTTTTCTGATTTTGTTTCTTTATAAAAAGTTTTTATTTTGCATTTTAACTTTAAACAACAAGTCTCATTATAATTTTTACATGAGAAACAAAAAATATTTTAGAAATCTGAAATTCATAATAAAATAAAGCAATGACAAATCTATAATTCTGGCTTTTATATTTTAGCTCTAGATTTTAATAGTCCCATTAGTTTTGTATATGTACCCTCTCATCTCTATCACATGTTATTTGAATTATTTAAGGTGAGAAAACTTTTTTAAATGTGTCAAATAAAATTAAAATACCCAATATGTGTTTTATATTGGGTATTTTTTGTCTTATATAGAATTCTATGCGTGCTGTTGTTGAATATCATGGTACTGCAGCAGATTCATATCCACCATTACATGTTTTAGTTGCTAAGGGAAAAGAGGATCTAACAATTAAGGTATTTACATTCATATAGATTGCATCCTGATTGATAAGAAAGTTATTCTGATTTTCTGCTGAAAGAAGAAAAATTTATATTGACAGTTATATTTTTGAATAATAAAAAGGCTGTGTATAAAAGAAAAATTTGATTTATCTATTTTAGGTATCTGATAAGGGTGGTGGCATTTCACGATCAACCATTGAACTTCTTTTTCAATATATGTATTCTACAGCTCCACAACCATCAACTTCTGGCGATAATTCAGCACCATTAGTAAGTTTTTAATATAATATAAGCTATGAAAAGATTGTTTATAAAAAGAATTTTCATAATTTAGTAATTTTGCTGATTTTGATTGATAAAATTTTTTCAATATTGAAAAAATTAATTTTGAAATAATTGTAGTACTTATCCTTCTTTTTTTTACTTTCCTGGCTGTTATATATAACAAGGAAGGTATGGAAATACAGTAGAGCATTGATTTTCGGAATCAATTGGGGACTGGGGTTGTCCGGATAACTGATATTTTGGATAACTGATTTACGTATGAAAAAATAGTTTAACGTATCCGATGTCGAAATTTTTATCCATTGCGTGTCGCTTTGCGTTGAATTTTCGTTGATAAGCCTAACAAAGACTATTGTATCGTTAAAAATTATTTTTTTATTTTGTACAAACAAAATAAATATATTGAAAAATATAAAAATAATAAAAAATTATGCTATTAAAAAAATAAAAAATAATAAATTTAGTATCAAAAACGTAAAATATTTGAGTAGCCCAAGACATAGCCAAAGATTGAGGCGCCACAGTACTGGCAAAAATTTAAATTTGCTGACTGGAATTCTTTCGGATGATTGACTTTCGGAAAATCGACGCTGTACTTAGGATAAAAAAAATGACCCCAAGATTTTTACATTTTTGGACTTAAGACCTTGAAATGGCAAAATGTTGTGTATTTTTATGTATGAAAGTTGATTTTGTTCATCCTCTTTGAAGCTTAATAACTCCTATGCTTTTTGTTGAAAATTTCTGAAATTTTGCAGAGAGGTTTGTTTGTTAGGAAGATTGATGCTATTAAAGTTTGGTGATTTAAGGGTCAAGTTATAAACTCTGTAACGTAACCGTATCTGTATTTGTAAATGTTTGCTACACTAGATATCTATAGCAATAGTTATAAACTACCGTAAGGACTTTTCCGTAACAAACTTTTTTACGGTTTACGAAGCAGTCCATCGTGAGCATGCACAAAATCATCGGTAGTTACTGCTAGATCTAACACTATAATTATTTATTCATTTTATTATTTTTCTAATTTTTTTTATGACAAAAGTAATTCTTACCTTAAAATTTTATATTATTCAGAAGCAGCATTGTCGGTCAAAAGTTACGTTTCCATCAATTTGTCAAAGTTTCGCCAGTTGCTTCCGGCACAACTTCCAATTGTACATCAACTGATGGCGACTTAGCGCATGTGCAGTTGGTCAATTCTCCATATCCCTACCGTAAAAGTTTGATCAATCCAAACTTTTCTTATGGAATACGGTACGGCCATACGGATACAATACAGAGTTTATAACCACGCTATATGGATACGCTTACAGATACAGTTACGTTACAGAGTTTATAATTCGACCCTAAAAGTTGAGAGGGTGGGGAGATAAAGGGGATCATGTGTATTTCCAATAGGGTCAGATTTAATGATGATTTTACTCATTATTAGCATTTACAGTTTTTTATAAAACATGTCCCTACTCTCAAAATTAAGCTTTTTGCCATTTTATAGTAGTTAAAAATATAAAAAGTTTTTAAAATACAATATGATAACAGAGGGCACCACTGAATATTGCTGAAAAAGTTAAGCAACTTTTTGAGCAAACTTTTTATAATTTATTGACTTAATTTTAAAAGATTAAGTCAATAAATTATAAAAACTCAAACATACTTTAAAAAATTTAAAAATCTTTTACTTTTTGAGAATATGTTGTTAATTATAATATTGATATAAGCTATCTTTTCTTTGCTTGTACTGTACATAGTGTTCTACTTAAAATTAGCTTGACTGAGATGATGAAACATTAATGATGTAAATTTTATAGGAATATTTAAAAGAAAGTGTATGAGACTGTTCCCAGAACTATATTCAAACCAAAGGAAACCATTTGCAGAAGTATTAAAGCTATTGATATTGACATCAATAGCTTTTAACTCAGTATTTTATATAATGTCAGTCTGAACATAATTGTGTGTGTGCAAATTTGCACAGACATCAAGGTTATCACTTTCAGCACCTTCTGTATATTTAAATATTGTTAGTTTTTGGAACCCACTCATTGGAAATGATAAAATAAATTTAGTCTTTTGACTAAATTTATTTTATCATTTCCAATGAGTGGGGCCTGATTTTAGGTGAGAGACCTGTGGAATTAAATTTAAATATTAACAAATGTATTTAGAAATAAACTCAACATCAGTAACATTTCCTAAAATATATATTTAATATTTTTTGTAAAATTATGAATTATGCTCTACATACATATTTGAATTTAAATATGTCTGTCTCTGAGTATCAAGTGAGAACAGCAGAACCAATTTATACCAACTTTGTACTTATATTAAGGTTAGCCCTAGAAAGGAAGGATAAAATACTATTTTTATTTCTAAAATAATTCTATTTTAAAAGCTTCGATAGAATTATGATATTGATTGCAAGTATAATGGTTTACATTTGGATCTTATCAGGTCTTTAAATATAGTAAATTCTGCTTTGGTGTGATGAATATAGTAATGTTCATCACACCAAATATAGTAAATTTAAATATAGTAAATTCTGCTTTGGTGAAATATGAATATAGTAATGTTGTGATCATTAACAAGTAAAAGTAAACATCAGTGAAAGCTCATCAAATAAAATTTGATTGGTCTTCCTGTCGTTTGAACAGAATGTTTGCAATACTGGATATATGACCATTGCCAGTCTAAACCTGTCTGTCACCAGAATTTTTTTGATACTGAATTTTGTTTAAGTCAAATTATGCTGCATTGGATTTTTAGTTTGGTTTTGTGTGTTTTGAACTAAATTGTGAAGAATTATTTTTTAGTTTTCCACAAAAATCTCTGGATTTATATATGTAACTAATTTCAAATTAATTTTACAAGAATTTAATCTCTACAATTATATTGTATGGGACAGTTTTTTTCAACCTGTGGGTCCCACAGGTTTACATGGGGGTCGCGGGTAAGAACCAAAAGCTTTACACGGGGGTCGCAGGTAAAAGAAAAAGACAAGTGTTTGTAGGTCCTACACTGCAATAAATAAAACTACAATTTCAGTGAGAAGGCTTTGCGTTTTTATTTTAAAGTACAATTGGTTTTTTGATTGATATTTAGGTCTCATCAGAAAGAAAATTAAATATATAGTTTTTAAAATCACTGATATAGTTTTAATAGGGCCTTGGAGTTTGCCAGAATTTTTTTAACTTGTAAAGGGGTTGCATATTCAAGGAGGTTGAAAAACACTGGTATGGGAAGTTTGGAAAAGATGTGACAAAGAAGTTTAGAACAATTACATTTTGACTCAAAATGAATCAATGGCATTATGCAATAGATTTCTAGGAAAGAATAATGAATTGATGCATTAACAGTGAAATTTAGTTTAAAAAAAGCTTGGCAAATACCAAAGTTAGAAAAGTACAATTTTGAAATTTTTTGTTTCAAATTTCATTGACCCAAGAAATTGCTTTAAAACTATGAAGGAAGACCATTAGCCTTGACTTCAGTTTTAAGATCTATTAGATGCCATTATTTTTCAAACACTGAACATGTGGCTTGAATTTATTGATTGCTTGGTGATGCAACTCCAAGCAAAAAATCTGACAAATTGATTTCTCTTCATTTTTCTGCTGCACAGTCATGTTGAACAATCATTAATGTGTTGCAAATTTGTTCAAACTAACTAAATATGTGCATATTGTGATTTTTGAGTATATATTAATTTTACTTAATCTGTATATCATTTTCCTGCATGAAGCCATGCATCTCAGCTAGAATACAAATATATTTCAAAAATTTTGCTAAATCTTAAATAATCATAAATTTGAAGTTTTTGATATCTTTTAGTAAGTTTTGGAAATATTGTTAATCTGTACATTTCCAAAAATTTTTGATTTTTAATTTCATTTTTTTTATGATATCATATGATAATTTTTTCTAGGCTGGTTTTGGATATGGTTTACCTTTATCAAGACTCTATGCTCGTTATTTTCATGGAGATCTTATTGTTACATCTTATGAGGGTTATGGTACTGATGCAATTATATATTTGAAGGTAGAGTATGCAATTAATTATTGTAATTTTATTGATTTATAATTATTAAACAATTTAAACTCTATCCATCTTTTTCAGGCACTATCTAATGAAGCAAATGAATTATTACCAGTTTTTAATAAAACTTCAAGAAAGCATTATCAAAATGCACTTGGTACCCATGATTGGAGTACTCCTCCATTTCATACTCATCACTCTCTTATTCCTCTGAATGTAAGACACTTTACAACTGTGATACATAAGCACTAGGGAGGTAAGAAGTAAATATATGATTGTTCAATAAAAGTCAATGAAATAAAATATAAAAATATATCCAAATAAATACTCAAATTCTTTATAAGTTCATATGGTTCACTGAATACTAATGCTACTAAGGTAGAATTATATGAACTATTGAATATGAATATTCTATATTGAAATTAACAAATGAAATTCTTTTACTATTTTTGAATAGACTTGTTTATAATTCATTTATATCCAAGGCCAATTGATGGCGAGTTTCAGGAATTACAAATAAACATTAATAGAATTCATTATTAAACAAATTGCAATATGCCATCATTCGATCTTGGAAATAATTTGTGGATGATACAACATACTTTGCAAGATTATATATTGATAGTTCATTTTATCTAGGGTTTCACTAACACAAAATTTACCAAATGAATTTAATTAACTTTCAAATGTATTATTTAAGTGATTATAATTGTTCTGAAAATTGAATCTATGATTTTGAAAATGTGAAATGTTTTAGATTTTATATTAAACTAATTTAACTAAACTAGATCATATTAGTATATACTAGATAAGTAGTAAAAACTTGCACAAAGTTTGAATTTTTCCACTACTTTACTATGTAATTCATAGGTTAATTCAAAGTAATTAAAGTGTTTCTACTTTGTGGGAGAATTGTGTGTGATTGAAAAAAATATGCATCATTTTCATGTTCAGTATGAATTAAAACAAAACCAGCTATGACCTTGCAGATTCATGAAACATGTAAACCTATATAATTAATGGCAATTTCCAACCAACATTACTTCACCCAACTAGATTACATTAATTGAAGACATGAGTAGATGAAGGTGTTATGTTAAAAAATGTAAGTTTTTGAATGAACTGATGTGTAAATTTTTATTATGTAATTATTTTGGTGTAAACATATCCATGAAATAGTTGTCACAGAGAATATTAGTGTCATTTAATTTCTGAGATCTTTGATGATGGAATGTGGGAGATAGATATAGTATAGGGGAGGGTCAGGTAGTACCGGATGATGGCTAGTATCAGACAAACATTGTTTCCAACATTTGCTGCAAGTGGCAGAACCTGTAAAAACACCAGCATGTTGGGTAAATAAAGAAAGTTCAGATTCCTGCCATATTTAGTCAATCAGTAGAGTTGTTGACACATGGCAGAAAATTTGGTAGTTTTAATAGTGTTTTGAGTGAATGAAGGTTTGAATGACTTCTGGTAGTCATAGCTTGCCCGAAAATGAGAATAAGTTTGTTTTTTTCTTTATTGTTGAAAACAACATTTATTGTTCTTTAAGTTGTAGGCCTGAAATCTCCTTAAGCTTACTAATACATATGTGGTAACCGATGTTTTGTCCTATGATGTTTCGGGTTGTATCGGACAGATACATTGCATATTGTATTAGACAAGAATGTTGCGGTTTGTATGAGACAGAGGTGTTATGGGTTGTATTGGAAACAGTTTAAAATTGATAAGAATTATATTCTCACAGAATGTTTTTGTTTTACAAGAAAATATGGGTAAACTATGGCAGAATAAAGGAAAGAAAGAATTTATGCATTTAAAAGAAAACTGCTGGGGGAAAATTGTCTACATAAAGAGAAAAAAAGGAAGAAAACAGTAAATAGGCCTAAATCGGTTCAAGAAAAGAGAGAAGACCAAGAGACTCATTGCATCATATGTGGTGAAACCTTTGAAAAAGACTGGATTCAATGTAGGATTTGTGTGCTCACAAAAATTGCGCTGATCTTGAAGGAAACAGATTTTTTATGAACGTGATGTTTGCATTACCAAAAAAATAAATACAAAATGCATTTTTCATTAAAATGAATTGTTAAATTTTCAGACTGATAATTTTTAAAATTTTTTTCATTTATATCACTTTCTTATCATGTAATAACTTAGTTTTACGATCTGTAATTTGTACTTTTATAAATTTCTCAATAATAACTCTGTCTAATAATAAAAAGTTGTTTGTGAAACTAAAAGTAATTCTCTTCTTGCAGATTTTTCTCATGTCCGATACAACCCTCCAAAATTAAACTTGGTAAAAATGTAATGACTGTAAAAAGTGTAAAAAAATTAATAATTTTATCTTAGAAAAATGAGTTTTAACAGTGTTTTTATAAGACTGACATTTTGTATGGAATGTAATCTGGACCAATTGAGCTGTAAAATTTTTTTTATAATAGAGGAGAAGCTTAGGTGTCTGGTGCTACCTGACTTTCCTCTACTTATATCCATGCAGGATAATTAGGTTTTGAATGATTGTAACATAACGGAGGTTGAAAAACACTGGTATGGGAAGTTTGGAAAAGATGTGACAAAGAAGTTTAGAACAATTACATTTTGACTCAAAATGAATCAATGGCATTATGCAATAGATTTCTAGGAAAGAATAATGAATTGATGCTTTAACAGTGAAATTTAGTTTAAAAAAAGCTTGGCAAATACCAAAGTTAGAAAAGTACAATTTTGAAATTTTTTGTTTCAAATTTCATTGACCCAAGAAATTGCTTTAAAACTATGAAGGAAGACCATTAGCCTTGACTTCAGTTTTAAGATCTATTAGATGCCATTATTTTTCAAACACTGAACATGTGGCTTGAATTTATTGATTGCTTGGTGATGCAACTCCAAGCAAAAAATCTGACAAATTGATTTCTCTTCATTTTTCTGCTGCACAGTCATGTTGAACAATCATTAATGTGTTGCAAATTTGTTCAAACTAACTAAATATGTGCATATTGTGATTTTGAGTATATATTAATTTTACTTAATCTGTATATCATTTTCCTGCATGAAGCCATGCATCTCAGCTAGAATACAAATATATTTCAAAAATTTTTCTAAATCTTAAATAATCATAAATTTGAAGTTTTTGATATCTTTTAGTAAGTTTTGGAAATATTGTTAATCTGTACATTTCCAAAAATTTTTGATTTTTAATTTCATTTTTTTTATGATATCATATGATAATTTTTTCTAGGCTGGTTTTGGATATGGTTTACCTTTATCAAGACTCTATGCTCGTTATTNACCTCGTTTCAGTGGAGATTGAAACGAGGTTCAATCGCAATCGACTCGACAGAGTTCTCGAAACTAGATCCAGTCATAAGAGAGATCCCACAATCCCACGCGCGCGAGAAAATGCAAGATGGCTGCGGAACACGTGTCGAGCTATCGACAGCGAAATAAGAAAGATATTGTATTTCGAGAGACGATGACATCTGTTATTTATATTATTATATCTATTATTATAATAATACCTAACGATAAAATAAATGATTTAGAAAAAGTTTTTCTTGTGTAACTGCTTTCCCTATGACTTTTTCTGATTAAAAAAAAGCCAATTTTTATGTTTATAAAATATTTTGAATGAAAAATATTAAAATATGAACCAAATAAACCATTTTGAACACTCTTTTTTATTATTTATAAAAAAAATATAGTTCTGGCATAAACAATGTTAAATTTTAACTGACTTAATTTTGCGAACGCAACTTTTTTATTTATATTTTCTTAAGGTCAGTTTTTGCGCTAATGTTGCTAATGCACCATTTGAGCGAAAAAAAATTGTTAAGGAAAAATTTTCTGTTAGCGAACCCTTTGTTAAATATTTCGAATATCACCACTGTATATATATAAAGGCATATACCTCAAATTGAATACAAGAATTCTGTTTATATATATATATATATATATACACGGGGTCACAACTGTAAGGGGTGATGGTGATAGATCTTGCCAAAATAACAACTTTAACCATTCAACGTGAATCAAAAAGCAAATGGCAAGATGCGAGAGGGTGCCTGCTTGGTGAAAATGGAGAATACAATAAAGATGAGTAATAAAGAACAAAGAATCTTCATTTATTGAAAACTTTACAACAAATGCTCAAATGAGCAACCACCAGCTGCAATACAGGCTTCACATTGGCAACGGACATGTTGGAAGATTCCTGGCAGTTCACAATCGTCTGTAGCTGCAACGCTAATTCGGGCAACAATGTTCTCTGGTGACTCGATGGGTGTTTCATAAATGATGCTTTTTATCTGTCCCCAGAGAAAAAATCTAGGCAGGACAGATTGGGAGATCTGGGAGACCAAGAGACAGGCTCATCGTGGCTAAAATTTGGAAATTGCTCCTGGTAGTCTTACCGCTTCTGCAACATTGCTGTTTGCAGTCCTGTACATAAGGTGCATATTGGCCTTCTCCACATTCAAATAATGCTGCATCTCTGGTGATGAACAGAAGCTAAATGATGGGTTCTGCGAAAGATGATGTTTCATCTACTCCAGAGAAAGCACCCTCTTGCGACTCATTGTTTATTTTCTGACCCCACATTGCATGGTGAAAGTTGTTTGTTCTGGCAAGGTCTATCACCCCTTACAGTTGTGACCATTAGTTTTGTTACACCTTGTATATATGAAAAACATCAAATAAAAGAATTTGATATTTTTATATATTATGTATAATGCATATACGCTGAAGTGCCAGAAAAACTCGAATACTTATCTAATATCTGGTAGATCCACATCTGGATCATAGAACTGTAGAAATACAATGGGGCATGAACTCTGAGCTTTCTAAGGAGGACTCATGACAATGAACATGAAGAACAGTCCACAATTCTGTAATATTCCTAGGTGGTGGATCTCTGCTTTGAATGGAATCATACACGGCATCCCAGATATACTTGATAGCGTTCATATCAGGAGAACAAGGGGGTCACTTCATGATTGCAAACTTGGATGAATGTTCTTCAAACCATAATTTGGTGGCTGTGAAATTGTGTGCTGTTGCATCCTCATGTTGGAAGAGGAAAAACCTATCAGAGTGAATACATGACATGAATGAGTGTAACATATTTGCAAGGATATTAACAATGTTCACCACTCTAACCTTTGTAGCTATAATGGGTTTGAATTCATTCCAGCAGAACACATACCATATCATTACTGAGCCACCATCAGTCTGTACAGTCCTTTGTTGACATGCTAGATCCATTGATTCATGGGGGTTTCTCTACATGCAGACGCTTCCATCTGCCCAAATCAGTTGGAAACATCACTCGTCAGACCAGACTACTCATTTCTAGTGTCTAGTGGTAGTAGCCTGAGCCCGGACAAGGCACAGAGTTCTGTGTCATGGGATAAGCAATGGGTATTGGCTGTTAAAGGCCATATCATACAGGGAATGCTGTATAGTCCTCAAGCTGATGTTAGTAGAGGCTCCAGCATTGAACTATGATTTTATTTGTGCCAGTGTTGCTTGTATATCACTTGAAATGATTCTCAATAGGCAATGCAGATTACAATCATTGAGACTTTTTTGACAGCCACATTATGTCTGTAAGTTCTGTGTTTTGCTGGAATTCTTGTATTCAAGTTATATTCTAGAAATGGTCAAACATGAAAATCCAAACTGTATCTCTGAAATGCTATGACCCATTTCAAGAGCACCTGCTATCATACCATGTTGAAATTCACGTAAATCATCATAACTTGCCATTCTCACTGCACAATCACTCTATACTTCCAAAGATGTCTGTTGCTATGTACACTTTGTATATAGATAAAAACATATATGAGAAAGGGGTGGGATTGACTATCCTAGTTTTCTGGTACTTTAGTGGTGTGTGTATATATACGTATGTACTGTAGAGAATATGTGAGAAAGTAAAAATCAAATATCACATAATTCTGATACATCAGTTCCAGCATGACAAAAGTATTAAATTACTAGAAATTATTATTATTAAGTCAAATTTTTTAAAATTCTTATAATAAATAGAAATGACAATAATAGATTTTATTATTATTATTTAAGCTTTGAAGACAGTAGTAAAAGTGTGTATAAATTTCTTGCTTATATCTTTAATGTTTTTATATGTTATTTCACTTCATATTAATTTCACATTATTTAATTTTATTTCTAGTCGTTTTGTGATAACTGAGCTTCCATTTTATTGTGACGGTCACTGCCATAGATATAACAAAGTAAGAATTGTTGATAATGATCACCAATGCAATTACTACTATTAAAACATATATAAGTTTAAAATTTTAAAAAGAAATTATTCATTTATATATCTTTTGTTGATTTTTTTTATGATAGTTAGCCAAGATGAATATAAATATATTATAATATAATCATTCCAAATAAAACTGGAAACAAATCTTTTGTCATTAGCATAGATTTAATTGTATTAGAATTGAATTAATGTTCAGTAATTTAGTTATCAATAAAGAAAATATATAAAGTGCCAAACTGTCAACTTTTTTTTAATGTTTAGAATTGATATTTGTGACAAAATTGTGAAATATAGATTACAAATCTGAAATAAAGATATAAACTAAAACAAAATAATGTCTGTTTTTCTTTAATTTAAATATTTTCAATAGTATTTTAAATAGTATCAATTATTTTTTATTATTTTTATTACATGATTGTTATACATTACACTTTTTTTACAAATTATAAATAAAAATATCATTAATTACATATTAAATATTAAACATGTTGTTATGGAATATGAGTAAAATAAACATCAAAAGTTTTGGTTTTTGTATGATATTTAACAGTTAATACATACTTTCTTATTTATTAAAGTTATAAAAATATGTTAATAAATTGGAGAATTAAAACACAAAAATGATATGATTAATTATAATAATTTAACATGTAATTTGTCCTGGGTGAGCAAAAGATATATTTACTCACAAGAAGTATATTGCCAAACTCCATGAGAGTTTGGCAATATCATGAGTCCTCTGAGTCTTGCTTCTAAGCAAGACTCATGGAGAAAAATGCTCATGACAGATGAAGCTTACATGAGCTTTATTCTGGATGGGCTCAAGTAAAATAGGAAAGGAGTCTATTGTCATCTTAGTACATCTAAAACATCACCAATTTACATGTAATTGTATTAATAAAGTTTACTCAAATTTTTATGGAAAACATTCTGAACTATGATGCTTTTCATTGTTAAGCTTGAGAAAAGAGAACTTGATAATTAACTTTCCATTGATAAGCTTGAATCAAAATATTTTTTTGAATAATTTCTTTTAAAGCCTTATCCTGTACCTTTTATTTTGATCTGGACATAACAGTTAACACACATAACCACATAAGATAAACATTGTAAATTTTGATTAATCAATTTATTATAATCATTTGAAAATTTATCTTGGCATGTAATAATTATAGAAAATTTTAGCAGAATATTGTAGAATTGCATCTCTTTTTAATCATCGTCAATGGCAAGATTAAAAAGGATGCAATTCTACAATAATTCTAGGACTACATAACTTTGAAGAATTAAGTTAATTATGTTTTTTTTTTTTTAATGGAATGCTTAATAAACTGTGTGAGAATACAGTTATACATATATAAGCATTTTATAAGCATGTTTTAAAAAGTGCTGAAATTTTAAATTTTCAAATAAATAATTCCACTCTACCCTTCTGGAAGTACAGAGAATTTTAATATTACTGAAATTGCCTTAGTACTTTTGAGCTAGTTAGCTCATCTTTAGAGGCAGCAAACTTTAAAAATTTAAATGTTTATAAAATTCTGATAGGTTGAAAAGCTTAAAGAATATTTAAGGTTTGAAAAATTCAAGGCTTATGAGGTGAAGTTATGTTCCATAAAAAAACTCACAAATAAGCATAAGACTAAAACAAAGTAAAAACAAACCAACCAACCAAACAATACTACATGGAGCCTCTAATTCAAATTTGACCAGGTCCCACGAAACAGTTACATGTAAGAGTGTTATATGTATATTATGGAAGCAAGGTGAGTCATTAGTCCTGGAATATTATTTTGTAGTTGGCAAAGTTGATGCTGTAAACAGCAGACTTGAAGTTTTAGTCCTAAAATTAAAATACAGTAATTTGAAAAAATTGTAAGAATTATACATAGAAATGTAAAATTTAAATTTCTACACAATATTTTTGAAAATAAAAGAAATCTAAATTTTATATTTACTGACTAAAGAATTGTCCATAAATTACATCCACATTTTTCTTGAAATTTTTACTCCCTCTTTCCTCTTGTCTCAGTTTGTACAAGTTAACCCCCTCCCCTCTTTTGACATCCAACAAAACTTGATCCCCATTAACTTTTATCATACTTGTCAACCTTTAGAATGGGGAATAGCTGGGATGTTGGTAGAAAAATGCTGACAGCATAAAAAGCAAATTTTTATGATTTTTTTTCTACCAACATCTCAACTATTCCCCATTCTAAATTCTTTATTAACATTGATATTGCACAATACTTAACATTAAATTTTGTATATTAAAGGTAGAAGGTATTTAATATATCTCTGCATATGATATCTTAGAAAGCTATTGCCATAAACACTCAAGAGTATGGCAATAGCTTTATACTCTTTAACATTACAATTTAAAAAAGGTCAAATATTTTACGGGACATATCATAAATCTACACCTAGATTTATGATGTGTTCTATCTTAATATTGCATGATGAGTGCTGTCTGTTATATGCCTTTGTGTAATGTTTTGCTTTGTTAATTGATCCTCAGGCATATTTTTCTTTTCCAAGATATGTAAATCTACTTACCTTTACAACCAAGGGATATTCTTTACTCCATAAATTGTTACTAATACAGTACTATTTTATCTGACCCAAGAACAGTACCACTTCACTTCCAGAATGTGCTGATCCACGGGCCGAACAACCAGTCACCATATGAAATTTTTCACCTAATTCAACTAACCTTCCATCGTAGGACATACCGACCAAGTATCCTCTTCCCGAAGATTTTGCCAATAGTCTAATCGAGAAATTCACCAATCAACAAACCAGCGCTGACAAACAACTTAAGAAAACGCTGTTAATGACCTTAACCCATAAATATTGTCGCCAGTTTAACGCGTGCCGGGATAAAATTATATGTACACCTAGTTCTAATTTCTACGCCTAAATATCAACCAATAAATTAAATGTTCTTATCAATAGATGAGAGAGATGGAAAAAAAAGGGAATAGATTTCTAAGCTTTTTGTAATTACAGTATACCTCTAACCGGGAAAATCAATCAACCATCTAATTTTTAAAATTGCACTATCTAAGTACAATTTTAAAGAAAGCAAAGAGTGATGTGAAATTCGAAGTTTATATAATTTCATAAAGGAATTTATTTCTTTAAATTTAAAATAAATTCCTTTAAATAGAGGAATTTTGAACCTATAGCGTGCGTGAGAAATTTATAACTCTTTGTATTTAACTATAAACATTCTCACGATCAAACCGTGTGTAGTTTACAAGTATCGGCGAAATTCGTCATATTGTTGTCATTTTAACACCAACTTTAACCCCACACCTGCTAAAACAATTGGTCACCCGACAAATTTTCCCACCACAAAATGTATAAAATCCATCCTCCTTCCTCTCTCGGGAGAGTCGCTGATCGGGGAGTCGCTCGAAGTCAATCAAAGGAAATCAACACTGCGTAATCGCCAGACCTATTCCGAAACTCGAAGGACCTGTGCATATTTACCGAAGAATAATCATCTCGATAAGTTCGCCGGATGTATGAATGCTTTATTGTAAATTCTCTTTCTCATATGCGAATTAGAAGTACCATGTTAGAATCTTTGTTTTCTTATTCGACTTTAATAAACTGTTAGTTTAGAAAAAATGGTGTCTTTATTCGACTATGCCAACGTCCCCTCCGACTCTCCTCCACTCGCGTAATGCGTAACCGTACGCAAACGGCATCCTTGACAAGAAAGTAGGTCACTGACCTGTGGCCGGGTAGGAGAGGAACTTCTTCCCTCCCCGGTGGCTCACAGTATTGATTGGCAAATTCCGATTATTAAAAAAAGTTTTACTCGAGAGCATTTCCATTTGGATATGAATTTAAAACTATTCGAAGTATGGAACGAAATTCTTTTTAAATACGCTTCCATAATTTCGAATTCCGTTATTCTACTTATTTCGTTCTGCAGAAAAAAGTAGTAAGATGAACGGTTCTCCCAGCGAACGAAGGAAAAGAAGCCGCGGTCGCTCCAAATCGGAAGAGGTGTAAGGTCGCCGACTTTAGGGGTAATACGTTAATTGCGCGTCAGGAAAACCTAGGGCCAAACCGTATGTGGGTGGTGGCGGTAGGAGACAAAGATGACAAGTGTCTTACACAAAAACCGTTTATTTTCACATAAGGTTAACTTACATAATGACAATAACAATGCGATCTAGATCGGCTTTGTTGGGAGCTCCTCGATGTCGACGAACGGGCGCTGACTGGTGTCCCAGGCTTGACAGGAGTGTCCGTCGCACAGGGGTCTCTGTCCGGTGATGTTGCGGATGCACGTGGATTTTGGTCACTGGTGGAGAACTGCGGAGAATCGGCTGAGAATCCCCTCGTTGTCCTTGAGATTCGGGGGTTATATAAGATTTTCCCCGAATCTCACCCTTTTGATTGGTCCCGTTCACCCTCTCCCTTATCCCGATTGGTCATTCTTTTGTTTCTAGGCGAAACTTGAGACCGATCCGGTTCGGGAAAAGGTCGGAGAGGNGATTCGGACGATAGAGGGCACAAGAAAAGAAAAAGCAAACTTTGAACTGGTCACCCACTTTCCGACCAACAGCTACTGGGAACAGACATTAGGACAAGCGGTCAGTGCAAACAACTGTAACCTTTGATCAATGTCAAGCTGTATGTACATTGATTGTACATTACTGTATATATTCGCAAATAAAGAAAGAGGTATTAAATTCTGACTAACGTATTTTCAACAGTATCGAGTGATTCGCATAGGGGATCAAACCCCAAAACACTATTACCTTTGGTTAGTGCAATGAAATTTTTTGGTGAATGTGTGGATTTTTTATTAGACCAAATACAACAGTTGTATCTGTTCACATCACCATAAAAATGAAAATGAACCTCATCATTCCATAGAATTTGCTAGGACCATGCATCATTAATTATAATTTAAGGTAAGAATTTTCATGGCAAATATTTTCTGCTTACCATTATCATCAGAAATCAATTTTTGACTGTGGGATATTTTATATGGAAAAAATGCAAGATTTTTCATATAACTTTTTATCGATTTTTCATATAACTTTACAAAACATGCATATTAAGAGGTGTAAGTTCACCGATTTTAGGGGCAATACGTTAATTGCGCGTCAGGAAAACCTAGGGTCAAACCGTATGTGGGTGGTGGCGGTAGGAGACAAAGATGACAAGTGTCTTACACAAAAACCGTTTATTTTCACATAAGGTTAACTTACATATGATATATATATATATATATATAATTAAGATACACAACAGGAATTTT